TTCAATAAATTTTGATTTTTACTTAATTTTATTGGATTTTTAAGACTATTAAATACAAGTGACCTATTAAGTCATGCCATATATAATGGGTATATCAGACCTTCCCCCCTCCCCCCTTTCTGTGATACCCCTCGATTCTAGAGTCACGGGTGATCAAGTCCGAGCACAGACCCGAGGGATACCAAACAATCAATATGTAAACAAGCACGAATAAAACTGAATTAAGAATAAATTAATAATACGCTGAAAGAAAACTAAAATAAGAATCCTCAAACTAGAAATAATAAATTAATATAATTTAAAACCGTACAACTCGGGAATCCACCTAGTGGACCCCTAATCCCAAATCCTTGAATAAATTTACAGTATTAAAATCCAAAACCAAAATAGAAAAGAAATCCTATTTAACCGGGAGAGTGAGTATCTATATCTGCATCAACACGATCAAACTCTAAACTTGGTACTGGCGAATACCTGAAAAAATAGAAGTGGGTCAGGCCCACATGCAAGTTCCAATCTACTACAATCCGTACATAAACCCGATACACAGATACATCCTTGATAGCTCGGTAATATCTACAATAGTCCATATATATATATACATACTATAGGATGCTCACTAGCCTATAACATAGTTCAGCCTGAGTAGAAGGTGACATATAAAACACGTTTTTCAGTGGCCAACTACCTAGACCTACCAGGGAATATTAGCTATATCTAGCTACTCAACCTTTGCAATATGCGCACCCTAACCGTGATCAGGAGACTCAAGCTCGTATCACGGTACCATAAATATATATATAAATTCCTTCCTAATGCAGAAAGATAAAACAAACATCCGTTATGTCGTTCAACTGTTTTAGTTGACAGGACATGCATCCATGTAGGATTTAACTGTTTTGGTAATTACCATTCCGTATGTATGAAGGGGTAGGACTTAGCTTTTTGATCTAATCCATCCCTGATATGTCACCGTCCCATACCGGTACATATAATGCAAATGATCCACCAGTGATGCACATTCATTAGAACATCAAGTATATCCATGAACCAGCATAATAGAAAACAGGTATTATTAAGATCCTATTATGCATCCAGTATATGATTATAATCATAAAACTCCTGTTAAATTGTTATAGTACTGTTAAACAATTTAAACTATCCACATCCATCCAATTGACAAAACAGAAACTAAATCAGTTCATCAATTAACAACCATAGTAGGGTATAATGATTATCAGACTTATGAACTGAGCACAAAATACCATTTAACCCAAACCATACCCTTATACTAGTTCATAAAAATCATTAAAACAAAGACTAGTAATGCAAACCTCCTTAACCCCCCTGATGGCATAAAAATTTATGTTTGCATCATATGACGTCCTTTTAATCCTCCAACTTAAAACCTGTGCTTGATATAGTATAACACAGAGAAGTCAAACTGTACCTCATATAAGTCCCCAATGGTACAATATACTAGCCCATTTAACTGGTGAAAACAACCCAGTAGTTAGAACTTCCTCCACTCCTTACAGCATACAACTATATATATATAAAATTACATGTCAACCACAACCACAACCCAACCAACCCTCTTGAGACTCATATATATCCTAGATATCATTGCTATAAAATCCCAACAATATCCGTTATATCAGTTCATTGAATTTGCGTAAACAACTAGCCTTTCCGTCTCCTTTCCTTTCTTCCGGACAGCATACACATTAATAATGTTTATGTTCATGATGCCCCTTAGAATTAAACCCTAGCATAAACCAACTGTTTAAAGGTTCCAATAGGTAAATTTTTAAGTATTTAGAACCCCCTTTATTTTCCAGAAACTCTGTTTAAGGCCCCAAGGTCAAAATAAATACCGAAAATACCCCCGAAGGGGTATCTGTTCAAGGGAGCCGGCTCCCCCCCATGGGAGCCGGCTCTTTATCTTCCAGAGCCGGCTCTCCCTCATGGAGAGCCGGCTCTACTTTAACGGGAGCCGGCTCCCTCACTTAGGGAGCCGGCTCTTTCCCCCTGAGAGCCGTCTCTGCTCCATGCGTCTTCTCTGCTTCGTCCGGTTGCCTTTTGCGCTTCCGGCGAAGCTTCCAGTCCCTGTCCCAACACTTTTAACATCCTTAGGGTCTAATTTAAATCTAGACATTCCTAGAAACCCCTCACATTCCATTAGGAATTAAATTACAGAAGTTCAATACATAACCAAAACAGTTTATGCGTGAACCGATTTCAGTTATTTAAAACCGACAAAATTCCAAGTCTCTATCCGAATTGTTTTTAAACTTCTTAGGGTCTACTTTAAATCCAAACAGTCCTAGAAACTCTTTAAAACCCTTATGAATTGATTATCAAAAACTTAACACACTCGGAACAGTTTTAAGACCAAACCAGTTACAGTTTAAACAAAGGCAAACAACGGATTACAGTTTGATTTAATTATGCATAACACATCCATTTTTAATATTTAATTAACGTCCTGGAGTCTATTTAGAATGCACAGAACACAAATTTACAGGAAAGAGATAGACTGAACCTTGCCTTGAGATTTCGGTGTGAAACCTTAAGCGTCGTCTCTAAGTTTAAGTTTCAGGACTCTCCAAGTCTGTTTCCCCTCTGCTCTGCTCACAGTTCCATCCAGAAGCAACCCCTCTGTTCTTCCTCCAATCTTCCTTCTTTAGCCTCACAGAAAATCACCCGAGACCCTCTTTGTTTATCTCAAGACCAGTCTAGAGCCTCTGTTTTCCTTCTCACAAATATTACGTGAGTATGATTATTCCCAACCCTAGCAGACTTAAAAGAAAATATATATAGATGTCCCAAACCCTAATCTACGTAACTCTATATCTACCGGGTTTAATTTAAAACCTAATATAAGTCTGCATCCATACTATATAAAAATAAAACCCTAATCCAATATCATATACAAGACTAAATAAAACAATTAATTTAGACAACTAAACAATTAAAATTAAACAATTACTTTAAAATAAATACACAATTAAAATTAAACAATTACTTTAAAACAAATAAACAAGTAATTTGGAATCAAGAACAAATAGACAATTAATTTAAAATAAAGAAACAATTAAACAATTACACAAATGAGCACATAAATCACATAATGAAATAAAAATGTAATAAAATCAAATTTAAATTCCCATTGTATCCTTTTGAAAACTAGGGATATTACACCCCCCGACCACCCACCCACACACACAATCTAATTTGTTATTAAAAATTTATAGAAATAGGAAATAAAAATAAATTAAATTAGAAAAATATATAATATAATGAGATGCATAACATTTTATTTAAAACTAAATTATGATTTTTATTTTTAAATCGAGGATACGTACTTACCTCTTGAAATAGGAGTCCAAAAATATATATATATATATATATATATATATATATATATATATGAAAAGTAACTAGATTTGACAGCCTGGAACAATAGCTAATTACTGTTTTTATAATAAATAAATAAAACATGTTTCACTAGGATCTAACAAAAAAAAATAAAAAACATGTTTTACTAAGATCTGACTAAAATAGAAATGCAAGAAAGAATTAAATAAATTTGAAGTTCATCCATTACTTCAAAATTTAGAATTTCAACATTTAATTTTTGAGGTTGGATATCAAGTTTTTGATGCCATATTTGGCATTTGTAAGCAAGAAGAAAAATAAAAATAAAAATAAATAACTAGTAGGTCTAATCAGCGTTTTGGAGTGAAAAAAAAAAAAAAATCGACAAATTTCTATTTATATATTTTTCGTTATAGCACATGTACTGGCCCCATAACACGAGCACTATTTAAGTCAGAAGCGCGATTTTAAAGCGAGATCTCAAAATTCCTATTTTTTTTTTTCCGGCAATTAACCATTTAAAATTATTGTTGAAGTATTTTTAGCAAAAACACATTTGTGGTGTAATAGTTAGGATGCTTGTCTCTTGAAAATAAGAGCATATTTGATTCTTACTAAAACTATTTTTTTCATTTTACCAAGGGTAAAGTGCAAAAAAATAAATAAATAAATTGTTATGTGCAAATGTTATTGATGATCAAAAAACCTCCTACAATTTTTAAATTTAGCAAAAAAAAGACCTTTTGTCCATTTGAAGATTCAATATATTTAAAATGTACTTAAAACAAAATAATAATAAAACATTTATTAAGAAGGGTATTTTGGAGTTTTAATAATTTTTCGGTCAAAATTAAGGTGAAGAAACAATTTGCACATATTTTAAGTGTTGTGATTTATATGCGCATAGTAAATAGAAATTTGGCGTGCATATCGATCACTATTCACACACAATTTATATGCAAGTTAAGGTAACAGTTGCTAATTCTACAACCCTTCGAGGTCAAGCTTCATGTTACTTGTCTGCCCATTTAAATATGAAAACTTTAAGGGGGTCATTGTCATTTTAGGAAACTAGTAGCATGTATCTCAAAATTGTCTACATAGCTGTAACCAGTCAATATTTAGGTAAAGCGAACCAGTCAAAAAAAACACACACACCACCTCATCGTTTGAATTTTTTGGTCACAAAATTAAATATTTAACCCCCAGTCTTTTGTTTTTTCCCAAACCTACCTTGCCTGCAAATGCAATCCATTTAATAAAATCACAAGGACGAAAGTGACATTTTCTCGTAAGCTAGTTGTTCCAACCAGATTGTATTTATATATACGCACCACCACCAACCAGACATTTAACTAAACAAAATCAACAAACACGCAGGCCGCCAGGCACGTGTCGCCACGTGGTCAATGGCACGTAACGGATGACGTCACCGAAAGCCAGGTCACGCCCATTTTCTGTCTTACCACCCTATCCGCTAGAATTGCCCCCTCGCCTCGCCACGTGGCGACACTACTGTAGCGTAGACCTGTTCCACTTCGCTACGTCGGGGATCACAGTAACGACCAGTCGCTTTCGACCCATTTGCTCCCACGTGGCCTTTTGGTCTGACGTGGCACCACGTTTCTTGAAACCTACTTGAGAGGTTAGTGATGTGTCAATTTGTACGGGAATTGGATAAGCTAATCCTTTTAATGTTGGGTGGGGCCATGCTGGTCCCATTTAGGGGGGTCTAACAATGGTACTGTAGTACCAGATAGACAGTAACCGGGTGACACGTGGAATTGTTTATTAATTGACACGTAACGTGACGTTGAAATTAGCGCGTGATTGAAAACAACTCAGCGCCAGCTGGCACCACTTGGTGTCTGCTGGCCGACCTTATCCCATTCTCTTTTTTTATTACCTTTTTTTTTCCCCTTAATTTCTAATTTTTGTATTTTTTTCAAAAGCAAGAACCATTGTAGAGAGAGAGAGAGAGAGACAAGAGAGTTGAAGGTGAGTTGGAGATACGGGGGGAGAGACCAAACCCTAGATTTCTTCAGACTGAGTACAGAAATCCCAGAAAAAGCTACCAATTTGAATAATTTCACACGGAGGTTAGTTTCAAGTTTCCATTTTTATTGTTCTTCATTTTTGTTCTTGCAGATGATGATATAAAGTATATACTTATATAATCATTATAATTACATTTTCTAGCTTGATGTTAAATATGGTATGAGATTAGAAACATATGGTTTATTGTGTATATAGACTGTATTGATAAATCTTATGCTGAAAAAATGGATCTTTATATTTTACTACATTTAAGATATGCGCTTCTGTTTGATTACATGGATCTATTCATTTTCTGTAACCTTAAGATATGATTCAATGTGATGATTTTACTTTTTGGATAATACCCATTTCAGATCGTGCATAATAGTACTTGTTTCACGCGAAAAGTAGTCTTGGGTTTGGTTTACTTTTTGAATTGAAGATCTTGTGAAAAAAATAAAGGGTTAAAGATGATGTCTAGATCGTATACCAATCTGTTAGATCTAGCGTCTGGGAATTTCCCGGTGATGGGGCGGGAAAGGAAGCGTCTTCCTCGGGTAATGACGGTCCCGGGGATTATATCAGAGCTTGATGATGATCAGGCTAATAGTGTGACTTCAGATGTACCATCGTCTGTTGTTGGAGAGCGAATAATTGTTGTGGCAAATCAGCTTCCGGTGAAAGCGAAGCGTAGACCGGACAATAAAGGCTGGAGTTTTAGTTGGGATGAAGATTCGTTGTTATTGCATATTAAGGATGGTTTGCCGGAGGAAATGGATGTTATTTATGTTGGGTCTTTAAGAGTTGAGGTTGATTCGAGTGAAAGCGATGATGTGTCACAGCTGTTGTTGGATAGATTTAACTGTGTCCCGGCTTTTCTGCCTCACTTAGGGAGCCGGCTCTCTCCCCCTGAGAGCCGTCTCTGCTCCATGCGTCTTCTCTGCTTCGTCCGGTTGCCTTTTGCGCTTCCGGCGAAGCTTCCAGTCCCTGTCCCAACACTTTTAACATCCTTAGGGTCTAATTTAAATCTAGACATTCCTAGAAACCCCTCACATTCCATTAGGAATTAAATTACAGAAGTTCAATACATAACCAAAACAGTTTATGCGTGAACCGATTTCAGTTATTTAAAACCGGCAAAATTCCAAGTCTCTATCCGAATTGTTTTTAAACTTCTTAGGGTCTACTTTAAATCCAAACAGTCCTAGAAACTCTTTAAAACCCTTATGAATTGATTATCAAAAACTTAACACACTCGGAACAGTTTTAAGACCAAACCAGTTACAGTTTAAACAAAGGCAAACAACGGATTACAGTTTGATTTAATTATGCATAACACATCCATTTTTAATATTTAATTAACGTCCTGGAGTCTATTTGGAATGCACAGAACACAAATTTACAAGAAAGAGATAGACTGAACCTTGCCTTGAGATTTCGGTGTGAAACCTTAAGCGTCGTCTCTAAGTTTAAGTTTCAGGACTCTCCGAGTCTGTTTCCCCTCTGCTCTGCTCACAGTTCCATCCAGAAGTAACCCCTCTGTTCTTCCTCCAGTCTTCCTCCTTTAGCCTCACAGAAAATCACCCGAGACCCTCTCTGTTTATCTCAAGACCAGTCTAGAGCCTCTGTTTTCCTTCTCACAAATATTACGTGAGTAGGATTATTCCCAACCCTAGCAGACTTAAAAGAAAATATATATAGACGTCCCAAACCCTAATCTACGGAACTCTATATCTACCGGGTTTAATTTAAAACCTAATATAAGTCTGCATCCATACTATATAAAAATAAAACCCTAATCCTATATCATATACAAGACCAAATAAAACAATTAATTTAGACAACTAAACAATTAAAATTAAACAATTACTTTAAAATAAATACACAATTAAAATTAAACAATTACTTTAAAACAAATAAACAAGTAATTTGGAATCAAGAACAAATAGACAATTAATTTAAAATAAAGAAACAATTAAACAATTACACAAATGAGCACATAAATCACATAATGAAATAAAAATGCAATAAAATTAAATTTAAATTCCCATTGTATCCTTTTGAAAACTAGGGATATTACACCCCCCGACCACCCACCCACACACACAATCTAATTTGTTATTAAAAATTTATAGAAATAGGAAATAAAAATAAATTAAATTAGAAAAATATATAATATAATGAGATGCATAACATTTTATTTAAAACTAAATTATGATTTTTATTCTTAAATCGAGGATACGTACTTACCTCTTGAAATAGGAGTCTAAATATATATATATATATATATATATATATATATATATATATGAAAAGTAACTAGATTTGACAGCCTGGAACAATAGCTAATTACGGTTTTTATAATAAATAAATAAAACATGTTTCACTACGATCTAACAAAAAAAAATAAAAAACATGTTTTACTAAGATCTAACTAAAATAGAAATGCAAGAAAGAATTAAATAAATTTGAAGTTCATCCATTACTTCGAAATTTAGAATTTCAACATTTAATTTTTGAGGTTGGATATCAAGTTTTTGATGCCATATTTGGCGTTTGTAAGCAAGAAGAAAAATAAAAATAAAAATAAATAACTAGTAGGTCTAATCAGCGTTTTGGAGTGAAAAAAAAAAAAAATCGGCAAATTTCTATTTATATATTTTTCGTTATAGCACATGTATTGGCCCCATAACACGAGCACTATTTAAGTCAGAAGTGCGATTTTAAAGCGAGATCTCAAAATTCCTATTTTTTTTTTTTTTCCCGGCAATTAACCATTTAAAATTATTGTTGAAGTATTTTTAGCAAAAACACATTTGTGGTGTAATAGTTAGGATGCTTGTCTCTTGAAAATAAGAGCATATTTGATTCTTACTAAAACTATTTTTTTCATTTTACCAAGGGTAAAGTGCAAATAAATAAATAAATAAATTGTTATGTGCAAATGTTATTGATGATCAAAAAACCTCCTACAATTTTTAAATTTAGCAAAAAAAAGACCTTTTGTCCATTTGAAGATTCAATATATTTAAAATGTACTTAAAACAAAATAATTATAAAACATTTATTAAGAAGGGTATTTTGGAGTTTTAATAATTTTTCGGTCAAAATTGAGGTGAAGAAACAATTTGCACATATTTTAAGTGTTGTGATTTATATGCGCATGGTAAATAGAAATTTGGCGTGCATATCGATCACTATTCACACACAATTTATATGCAAGTTAAGGTAATAGTTGCTAATTCTACAACCCTTCGAGGTCAAGCTTCATATTACTTGTCTGCCCATTTAAATATGAAAACTTTAAGGGGGTCATTGTCATTTTAGGAAACTAGTAGCATGTTTCTCAAAATTGTCTACATAGCTGTAACCAGTCAATATTTAGGTAAAGCGAACCAGTCAAAAAAAACACACACACCACCTCATGGTTTGAATTTTTTGGTCACAAAATTAAATATTTAACCCCCAGTCTTTTGTTTTTTCCCAAACCTACCTTGCCTGCAAATCCAATCCATTTAATAAAATCACAAGGACGAAAGTGACATTTTCTCGTAAGCTAGTTGTTCCAACCAGATTGTATTTATATATGCGCACCACCACCAACCAGACATTTAACTAAACAAAATCAACAAACACGCAGGCCGCCAGGCACGTGCCGCCACGTGGTCAATGGCACGTAACGGGTGACGTCACCGAAAGCCAGGTCACGCCCATTTTCTGTCTTACCACCCTATCCGCTAGAATTGCCCCCTCGCCTCGCCACGTGGCGACACTACTGTAGCGTAGACCTGTTCCACTTCGCTACGTCGGGGATCACAGTAATGACCAGTCGCTTTCGACCCATTTGCTCCCACGTGGCCTATTGGTCTGACGTGGCACCACGTTTCTTGAAACCTACTTGAGAGGTTAGTGATGTGTCAATTTGTACGGGAATTGGATAAGCTAATCCTTTTAATGTTGGGTGGGGCCATGCTGGTCCCATTTAGGGGGGTCTAACAATGGTACTGTAGTACCAGATAGACAGTAACCGGGTGACACGTGGAATTGTTTATTAATTGACACGTAACGTGACGTTGAAATTAGCGCGTGATTGAAAACAACTCAGCGCCAGCTGGCACCACTTGGTGTCTGCTGGCCGACCTTATCCCATTCTCTTTTTTTATTACCTTTTTTTTTCCCCTTAATTTCTAATTTTTGTATTTTTTTCAAAAGCAAGAACCATTGTAGAGAGAGAGAGAGAGAGACAAGAGAGTTGAAGGTGAGTTGGAGATACGGGGGGAGAGACCAAACCCTAGATTTCTTCAGACTGAATACAGAAATCCCAGAAAAAGCTACCAATTTGAATAATTTCACACGGAGGTTAGTTTCAAGTTTCCATTTTTATTGTTCTTCATTTTTGTTCTTGCAGATGATGATATAAAGTATATACTTATATAATCATTATAATTACATTTTCTAGCTTGATGTTAAATATGGTATGAGATTAGAAACATATGGTTTATTGTGTATATAGACTGTATTGATAAATCTTATGCTGAAAAAATGGATCTTTATATTTTACTACATTTAAGATATGCGCTTCTGTTTGATTACATAGATCTATTCATTTTCTGTAACCTTAAGATATGATTCAATGTGATGATTTTACTTTTTGGATAATACCCATTTCAGATCGTGCATAATAGTACTTGTTTCACGCGAAAAGTAGTCTTGGGTTTGGTTTACTTTGTGAATTGAAGATCTTGTGAAAAAAATAAAGTGTTAAAGATGATGTCTAGATCGTATACCAATCTGTTAGATCTAGCGTCTGGGAATTTCCCGGTGATGGGGCGGGAAAGGAAGCGTCTTCCTCGGGTAATGACGGTCCCGGGGATTATATCAGAGCTTGATGATGATCAGGCTAATAGTGTGACTTCAGATGTACCATCGTCTGTTGTTGGAGAGCGAATAATTGTTGTGGCAAATCAGCTTCCGGTGAAAGCGAAGCGTAGACCGGACAATAAAGGCTGGAGTTTTAGTTGGGATGAAGATTCGTTGTTATTGCATATTAAGGATGGTTTGCCAGAGGAAATGGATGTTATTTATGTTGGGTCTTTAAGAGTTGAGGTTGATTCGAGTGAAAGAGATGATGTGTCACAGCTGTTGTTGGATAGATTTAACTGTGTCCCGGCTTTTCTGCCTCCTGACATTTTGCAAAAGTATTATCATGGGTTCTGTAAGCAGCATTTATGGCCTCTTTTCCACTACATGCTTCCCTTCTCTGCAAGTCATGGGGGCCGGTTTGATAGGTCTTTGTGGGAGGCTTATGTGGCTGCAAATAAGATTTTCTCGCAGAAGGTGATTGAGGTGATAAATCCGGAGGACGACTACGTTTGGATTCATGATTATCATTTAATGGTTCTGCCCACCTTCCTGAGAAGACGTTTTAACCGATTGCGAATGGGGTTCTTTCTCCACAGTCCATTTCCTTCGTCGGAGATATATCGGACTCTACCTGTTAGAGAGGAGATTCTAAAGGCGCTACTGAATTCGGACCTTATTGGCTTCCACACTTTTGACTATGCTCGGCATTTCCTTTCTTGTTGTAGTCGGATGCTCGGTTTGGAATATCAGTCAAAGAGGGGTTATATTGGGTTGGAATACTATGGAAGGACTGTTGGGATAAAGATCATGCCAGTTGGGATTCACATGGGGCAGATTGAGTCTGTCTTGAAACTTGCAGATAAGGACTGGAGGGTGGGAGAGCTCAAGCAGCAGTTTGAAGGAAAAACTGTGTTGCTTGGGGTTGATGATATGGACATCTTTAAAGGTGTCAATTTGAAACTTTTGGCAATGGAACAGATGCTCAAGCAGCACCCGAAGTGGCAAGGAAGGGCGGTATTGGTACAGATTGCAAATCCTGCCCGGGCGAGGGGAAGAGATCTTGAGGAGATAGAGGCTGAAATACATGAAAGCTGTACGAGAATTAATGAAACTTTTGGACAGCCCGGTTATGAACCGGTTGTTTTCATTGATAGGCCTGTTTCTCTGAGTGAACGAGCTGCATATTACACTGTTGCTGAATGTGTCATTGTCACGGCCGTAAGGGATGGAATGAATCTTACTCCGTATGAGTACATTGTGTGCAGGCAGGGAATATCTGGATCTGATTCTGTTTCTGAATCAGACGGTCCCAAAAAGAGCATGCTAGTAGTATCTGAGTTTATTGGATGCTCTCCTTCACTGAGTGGTGCCATAAGGGTCAACCCATGGAATGTCGAAGCAACTGCTGAAGCAATGAATGAGGCAATTTCGATGCATGATGCTGAGAAACAGTTGCGTCACGAGAAACATTACAGGTATGTTAGCACACATGATGTAGCATACTGGTCGCGGAGCTTTTTCCAGGACATGGAGAGAACCTGCAAAGACCATTTCAGACTGCGTTGTTGGGGTATTGGTTTCAGCTTTGGTTTTAGAGTTGTAGCACTTGATCCTAATTTCAGAAAGTTGTCCACCGATGTGATTGCCTCTGCTTATTCCAGAGCAAAAAATAGGGCCATATTGTTGGATTATGATGGCACTGTGATGCCTCAAACATCCATCAACAAGACCCCCAGTCAGGAAGTGATCTCAATGATAAACACGCTCAGCAATGATGTTAAAAATACAGTTTTTGTCGTCAGTGGACGAGGAAGGGATAGCTTAGGCAAGTGGTTTTCACCATGCAAGAAACTTGGAATTGCGGCTGAGCATGGATTTTTCATGAGGTATGCTAACATTTTTTTTAAGTTGTCCTTGTTTGTTGTATGCATAGTTGCTATATTTTAATTGCATTATATCACAGGTGGTCTGTGGATAAAGAATGGGAAATCTGCGGTCAGAGTTATGATTTTGGGTGGATACAGATGGCTGAACCTGTAATGAAATTATATACAGAAGCTACTGATGGTTCTTACATTGAAACAAAGGAGAGCGCATTGGTTTGGCACCATCGGGATGCAGATCCAGGTTTTGGATCAAGCCAGGCCAAGGAGATGTTAGACCATCTTGAAAGTGTGCTCGCAAATGAACCTGTTGCTGTGAAAAGTGGTCAGTTCATTGTCGAAGTGAAACCACAGGTATATAATCTGTCAATTCTATCGTTCTTTTCCAGATTTTCTGCATGTATGAGATTTCCTGTTAATGTATCAAATCACTTGATCTTGTTGTTCCAGATATGAAATTAGATAGAAACATTTTGGGAACTATGCAACTAGTTTCACAGGTTTCTTCCCCTTTACTGGAGCCTGGAATGTGAATAAAACATTTAGAAGCTTACATCATGAATGGCCCAACCCAAACCTGAAACCCTATCATTTTACTTCTAGGCACAGGATACATCACAATCTGGAGATCTGTTTATGTATCCTGCACCCATGATTACAAATAACACCACTGGGAAGATTTCGACCAGTGTTTTAGCATATCTAATCCACCTAAGTAACACCACAGTGCCATAGAAATAGCGTTATATTCTTTTTGAATATTGATAGATTCAAGGGTCATTGGTATACTAATATATGTCTGATAGTGGGAAGAATGGTAGAACTGAAATTTTCAACATTGGTACAAAAAATTTATTAGTTTTTTAAGAAGGTAATATGAGGTGCTGGGTAAGGGAGATCAACTAAAAAAATTGAGACATGTCAAATGAGCTAGAAGAAGAACAAATACTGATAAAAAGATCTGGAGGATGGACCACTGTGATTCACTTTTTCAAAACGATCTACAAAAAAAGATGATAGGAAACTTACTTAGTCCACCTGCACTGGCACGACAAAAAAGAAGAATAATCTAATTAATGATTGGACAGTTTTGATCACCAAAATTCTGGATTATAAACGATGAAAATAAATTATATGAAACATAATAAGAATAATATGTACTCAACTATCCCTAATCAGTTCAGTTAATTTGGAATCATGACATATCGACAAATTAGTGGTGTTGTTTAGCTGGCATCCTTTTGTGGGATACTCGACTTACTACTTGGTATAGCCTTTTTTTTTTTTTTTCGAACTTTGATTTCATAATTAAGCTATATATTAATAAAAATCGAATTACAGAAACAAGGAGAGACATACCTCTTGAAAACAAAATAAACAAGGATAGTTACCAAGCCAATATTCCAATCATCATTCACTCTACAGCCAACACAGAGGCTTCTAAGTCCACCCCAGAACTCATTTTAGTCTAATTGTGTTCCAGAATATTGGGAATAATAGAAGCTTCATTCAAATAGCTGTTAGCAAATCTTCTATTGTTTCTTTCCGGTCATAATAGCAGCCATAGTGAGTTTATGGAGCTTCCCCTTCCAGCCTTTACCTTTTAAGTTCGTAGCTATCCTACCCATTAACACTGCCCAGGTTTCAGTTCTTGGGCCATTGAATGCCACTATTAGAGGAAATAGCAGCCCAGATTGTGTAGGAGAATTTGCATTGGAAAAACATATGTTGGTGTTGCCTCCAATTCTTCTTATTCAATGAGTCTCTCTTTAGGAATGAATAATATGTAGTGTTATTTCCATAGAGATGATGTAAAACATGTATTTTCTTTTTATTAACTTGAATGAACTTGTCGTTCCATGTGGACTGGGTGGCCTAAGTCTTGTATTTTTGTTTCGTCCTAATCTTCCTAGTATGTGTGACATCTGGTATAACCACAGATTGATTGAAACAATTTATGCATAGTGATTAAAATTGTTGTCCCATCATTTGTTTTAGCATTATATGTTTGAATATATAAATTGGCTCCGGTTGTAATTTATCAATACAGTTGGCCGTGGTTACAGTTTTAACAATGTGTTTGAATCTATTACCTGGCTTATGGTTTTAGGGTGTTAGCAAAGGCCTAGTTGCAGAGAAAATCTTCACATCAATGGCAGAGAGTGGAAAGCAGGCTGATTTTGTACTGTGTATTGGTGATGATAGATCTGATGAAGACATGTTTGAGATCATCGGCAATGCAATGAACAACGGTGTCCTCTCCTCTAATACATCAGTTTATGCTTGCACTGTTGGACAGAAACCAAGTAAAGCCAAGTACTATCTGGATGACACCATGGAGGTCATGACCATGCTTGAAGCTCTTGCTGAAGCCTCGGATTCTCCACCTTCAACAGAAGTTGAAAGAGTGACCTCTCCTTGATATACTCCCTTGTGGCTGTTTTTTATTTGAGAAACTTCAGATCTCGTCCGTCGACTCAATCTGGAAGAACAACATGAAAGCCTGTAATGGAGGTAGTGATCAGATTCTCCTCTGTTTGGAAAGAAAATTAGGGAAGAGATCTTGTATAGCCTTCTGTTGACGGCCAGCCAGTTCAGAACATCAGAGCTCAGATATCCTGCGACTAAAATGGTGAAGGCTCGTAGTATGGAGGGTGAGACTTGACTTGTAAAATACCTCGAAGTTAGCTGCTCTGACATCTGAAAAATTGGCAGAAGTTAGCAGAATCAATTCATCGCGGAGTGGTGGGGGAAGAAAGCAATATCCAAGATGGTTGATTTTCATGGCCCTTTACAGTGCAATTTATGTAAAGGCCGCCAGACTGGCTTGTTATATGCACGCCACCATCTTGCGGAGACTACTATCTTCACTTGCATTCTTTGCCAGGTAAATAAACTTTACTAGCATGAAACAGAGATCTGGCAGTAACATAATCAAGTCTTAGCTGCTGATTGAGTCCTTTTTTTTTGTTTTTGGGAGTGAGCTTTATATTTGAATCATTCAGGCCCAATTCATTGGGTCATCAGAACAGTAAATTTTGCAGGAATTAAACTGTGAATTCTTTATTTGTCATCATCTCAATTTGATTCTTGAAATGTCGAGCCTTTTTTTTTTTTTACTTTAAGCAACAAATGGCATGGTTGAAAGAAACTCCCATGAAATAGCAAATCCAAACATCTTGAAGACAAATGGAAGTTTCTCATGCTGCATAATATCATTATTCCTTTCCCTAATGCTGTGGTTTCACTTTACATTTTTTTTTTTTTCTCTAGATCAGTAGCCTAACAAAGCTTGCAGTGTTTGATTTTACCAGCAATCTACCTATTAACTATTAAGCCCATCATAATTCAATCCCGACAGCAATAGCTTTAATAGCTCAGAATTTTTTTCAATAATTGTTCGGTGCATGTGGATGGAGGGACGGCATAAATTATCCATAATAAGACTTATGTCCTAATTACAAAAATTGACGAAGTTTCTAATGATTAAGGACTGTAGCCTAATAATAGAACTATTACCTCTGAAAGTAGGAGGTGAGAGTTGAATGAAATTCTCGTGAGAACAAATGAGTGTGTGTTTATATATGCGGGGTTCATGGTCAAATATTTTTTTGGCCACGAACCCATTTGTTAGGTAATGGACAGTAAACAATTAATGACCATTATGTTTCATACTCCATAATCATCACCACCCATAATTCACATGCAAGTTTCAAAGAGATTCTCTTGCCTTTTTGAAGCTAAATTTACAGGGTTATGACAGGAATATATTACAAGTTCATGGAATTTGATCAATTTGTTTATCATATTTTGTTTGTGACACAGGTTCCAACTGAAAAATCTTCCAATTTGTTGATTGCCCAGAAGCCATTTTGAATGCAAACTGGTATCATAAATGACATGAAAGTCCGATGTCAAACGGAACCAGAAAGTAATAGAAATGACCTTGTACTTTTAGCTTAATATAGTCACAAATTAGTGTGTGTGTGTGTCTACGAGAATATTGTTTTAAGAAAATACTCATAACATGTAATTCAACTAATCTGATTTTTGATGTGAATGGGAGTTGATGCTTCATATCAAAACAATCAGAGTTATCACAAACTCTGTATCATCCATCACTCTATCGTTCAGCTAATTGAATCACGGATATGGCATACCCAGTCAATGACCAAGAAGAACCAGTCAAGAAATGTTCCTAACAAAACGAAATGATAAACGCTAAAAAACAAATACTCTAAAAAAACAAAAAAAAACATATGACTAAAGTTTTTATTCACACACTAGCTGAAATGCTTCAGACATGATGTCCTCAAGCGCCCTAAAGCAGAAGCACCCGTGAACCATTATTGTAGCTCCTCAATAAGCCCTTCATTTCTGTAAGAAGATTCCTCATGTATAACATATACATATATACATATATATGCATATACAGAGTCACACACATATATATGTGACACCCTGATTCTCGACAGCCAGCTAGTTAACTAAGAAACGTTTAAGAATAACATTTGCACCCATAGCCTCTCTCTTACCAACTGTTCTTTGTCCATTAACCACAGAATACACAACTGTCACTATTTCAAATTCAGGTTCGTATGAGAATACAATCCCAAGAAAACAAAAACCAATGAATTTAATACAATACAAAAGTCAAGAACTGTACTCTTCAAAGATACCATCTTCTATAACGTTACCAACTCTACTTAATTATGTATTATATATATATATATATTTATATGCAAGTTGCAAACTTTGGTCTGTCACACTCTGTTCATATTAAGAAAGGAAAAGAGATTTGGACAACGCCAATACTATACGTATAATAAAGCTAAATTTTCTCATGACTTAGGGTCCCACCATTTTCTTTTCCTTTCTCTGTCCTATCTCTTCTACTTTGTATGGCTATATTCCAAAATCCAGTTCATATCCTCTCTCACCACTTTAACGTGTGGGTCCAAAGCCCACCTCTTTTTCTGCTAACTTCTGTACTCGGACTATTGTCAGACATGCATGATCAGACAGAGAAATACAATGATATAGTAATACAAATGCTAGTCACCCACGCTCCGGCTCACGCACCACCCTGGAGAAGGTAGTGGATAAGCACCGAACTCATTCAAATCATACATTGTGAGTGTGGACACCGAATTCATTCAAACTTTACGTTGTGCGTGAGTGAACACATATTATGCATGTACAATTCGAATAAACCAATGCACTTAATATCTAAGTCCCACCTCAAATGCTTCCTATCCAATAGATTTTGAGAATCACTCGATATAGCTGAAGTGTTACAGTGAGTAGTATTGGCTGGTCATGTATATATATATATATATATATTTTAGTTAATATTCACACACACTTTTTTCTTTTGAGATTTGAATTCTTGTTTTCTCTTTAAAAAATAAAAAACAGATACTGCTAGACTATTAACATTTTAATGGTCATGTATGTAATATACAATAAAGTGTAAGATTTTACGCAATCAATCAAAATTTTCACCATAAAATCATTTTCCATAGATTTTTGGGCCTTGTCCAGTGTTTTAAAAACATTAAACAATTATATGCGTTCGACACTTCCTTAATTATGCTGACCCATTTTTAAAAAAAAATTAGTGAGTACCAAAAGAAAAAAAAAAAAAAAAAAAAAAGTGCAAAAAAAACATCTATATGGACTATTGGGTGTGTTTACTTTAATTTCTAAAAAATAAAAATAAAATCTATTTTAATAACCCATTTATTTGTGAACTATGTGAATTCAAACGAGTGATAAAACTTGAAATGATTCCGAAAGATGTACATATTTGATTTCAACCCATAAAATTGAAGTGACACCCAACAATTCATATTCACAAAATTTTATGATATCTACTATTACTGTGGAATTTATAGAATTTTACTGAATGATGCTATTACGGATTATTATACAAACATAGATTTTATAGAGTCTCCTCCATCTGATCGAATCGCAACAGAAGTCATTGTTATCTCATATTTTGCAGAAGCGACTACTTATTTAAAACTGATCAAACGACTTTACATGTTGCCCATATCACAGCCGAAAGCACGGTCATCTCAAATCTTTATCGTACAACTGTGGACCCCGCCTGCTAGCTGTGCGCACTTGTCTCCTCGTGGACTTGCACTTAGACTTGTTTCTCAACTCGTCGCCGGAGATAGATACACCTGACTCTGTATCACCGTTTTCCCGATCTTAAACCCCGGAACCACCGTGAACGCAACCTGAACCTCGCCGTCTCCTCCGTCGTCCGCGGCGGTGCAGGGTTCCTCCTCCTCCGTCACGCTCTCCATGTACACCTCCGAAAACCTACTCCTATTCCTCACCTGAAAGATGCTCACCTCTGGATCGAACGAGAACGCCAAGCAATGCAAAAGCCAAACACGCCTCGACATTTCTGCGAAAGCAGTAAAGAACGCCGTTTCTGGATAATATCCTGATTCGATCGCCTTTCGCTGATTCAAATCCCCTGAAAGCGATGCTTCCATTTTCGGATGAATCAATTGAAGATACTTCGTTCTTGTGAACTTTCCAAACGTCGAATTCGGGTTGTATTTGAGGATTTGAATCGCACTCACAGACTTCAATTTCTTGAATCTGTCGATGAATTGAAAACGTCGATGATGATGGTGATGATGATCATCACCGTGGGGTGAAGAATGAGAAAAGCAAGGACGATTGAAACCGTCGAACATTTCTTTGCAAACAAATGATTCGAACGCGAAACCTCTATGGTTTGATTTGGGGAAAATTACTTCAGGTTCAATCGCACTCGCGGCTGAATCTATATCCCAATTCGAAGCCTCCATTTCACGAATCATCAACTTCACGAAGCTTCGTATAGATCTAATCGCGTAGTGAAGAACTATGATGAAATCTTTCGGATTCGAATCGAGTGGCTTTACATTGTCAAGAATCGAATTACAGAACGACGCACTGGAGTTCAATTTCTTCTCCATGGACTTGTTATTCGAAATAGTGTCCTTGAAGACCGTTTGAAGGGAAGAAATTTCCGATTCTTTGGATTCAATCTCGCTCTGCATTTTCTTCATCGTGATCTCATACATCTTCATCAGACTCTGTTGTTCTTGAATCTCGGCGAGCAAGATCGTGACATGAGGCGGGGAAGAATCGATCTGTTTCTTCAAGAAGCTGTGTTTGAGCTCTGAAAGTGCTTTCAATTCGAACACCACGGCCTCGTCTGCAGTCTGAATCCCTTCGCCATTGTAAGGGAACTGCGCCATTTGCAGGGCAGCGTAAGCGGCTTTGGCAGCGGAAATGCTTGCGAAGAGCTTCGCAATGAAAGCTTCCGTGGAAGCTCTGTTTCGGAGCTTTGCTTGGTCGCTGTCTTCGTCTTTGTTGAAACAACGAGAGTGGTGTTTTTGGTCGCGTTTGATGAGCTTGTCTTGTGGTGTGACGAGACAGAAGCCATTGTTGGAGAGGGATTTTGTAGCTGTTTTGAGGTGGATGACTTTCTGGAACGTTCTTGCTAATTTGCTGTTTTTTGTTGGAGCTGAAGTGGGTCTGATTGAATCCATATGGAGTTCGTTAGATCAGATGATGTGGGTGTTCTGAATCATGAAATGTGTGTGTGAATTCGAAGAAGATCAAGTACAAGGACTTGTGTGAATGTGTGTGTGAGAGAGAAGAGAGACTGTGGCTAATGGCTATGTATGAAAGTGCCGAGAAAAAGAGAGGTTATGAGTTAGAAAAGCAGAGACTTCTTTGACTCTGAGGTTTAAGCCGGTGATGGAGGTGGGTAAAGCAGGATTAAAAGCGCGGGAAAAAAAGATAAAGATCAACAGTCAGAGGTGCTATATATATACACACACTATATAGAGAGAGATACATAGTAAGGATATATATATATATATATATACACTAATATATAGACATACAAGTAAGTATATAGTGGAGGTCATATCTTTGAAATTGGAAACAATGCTAAGTTTGTACGAGCATACATTTATAGCTCTCGTATAGATGCAAATTAGAATTGCATGCGCAGTACATTATAAGATGTTATGTTAGGGAAATTGAATACCATCTTAGCTGGAAATTTAATGTCATTATATCATAATATAACACAATGATATCATAATGCTAACTCAACTCGTTACAGTTATATTCTTTTTATTTTAAAATAAAAATATTCTTTTTGAAGCAAAAATGATAAATAATAACTTTGAAAAGGTTAAACATCACATATATAAAAAATATAACACATGTAACATATAAATAAATACAAAAGTGTGTGTGTGTATATATATATGAAAAAAAGATGCTTTTTGAGCTTAAAAATCAAGCCTGACTAAATTTATTTAGTACCTTTAGTCTTTGACATAGATGTTACTAGGGACATGCTTTAATACGTCTACGTATTACAAGTCATTTGGTTATACTATTGAACTCATTTTCACTTTGAAAATAAAATTTTTTATGTATAAATATATAAAAGTAGAATTGGATTGTAGGCCAGGTGAGAAGGATGCATAGAGGAATGATGCTTGGTGGGCCCTGGTCTTTATGCAAAATTTTAAACGTAAAGCGATTGATGGCTACCAATCAATCGGGGTCCAGATTGTGTAACAGCCATTGGATGTTAGGAAACGGCATCATTGACTATTTGGCTGCTAAAGAGTAGCGGCTATGATGATTAGGACTGAGAATCTTGAGACTCTAAGACACAGACTTGTATTTTGTAAAACGAATAGAACAAAAAAAAAATTATACTACGTAATTAATTAAGCAAAGAAATTGATACATATAAAAATACATTACAAATGAAAAAATAAAATATGACCCGTACGATTGTCGGTGCGGGACCCAATTACAGTTCTGCTACTTTTTCTTCGAAGCATCGCAGTCGTTAATCAGACTAAAATCTAAACGGGACCACTAAATGGCAGGAATGTTATAGCTCAAGTTAATGTCCTGTAATGGAAATGTGGACCTGTGAAGGCTGTGATCAGCTCATTTTTATTGTAGACTTAAATTATGAGAAATTTTTACAAGATCTTTGCTAATACAAGTAAATAAATTTGCTAATGGTCCAGTAATATTTTTTCTCTTTTTAAAGTGGATGTAATTGTTGGAGTCTTCAAAGAAAAGTGGGTATGTGATAATGTGATTGTGTGGGAGTTTTTTGTCAATAAAATAAATAAATAAATAAATTTGTAATTTTTATTTAATTTTTAAAAATTATATATTACAGTGCCTAATTGTAATTTGGTATTTATTGATTTGAGAAAATAAAAGTTATATTATATGTGTTACGACAATAGTGGTCTAAGATAACCTCTTGACTTCGGAAGAAGATTTCTTGGAGAGCGGAGAGAATCTTAGAGAAGAAGGCAGAGCATAATCTTTTTGTTTTGCCAATCAAATTAAAAATTAAAAACTTTTTATTTCTTTACAAACATGGCCGGAAATGGAAGAAAGAAAAGGAGAGAGAGAGAGTAAAAATATTTGTCTCAAAAGGTCAGAAGCTTCTTGTTACCTGCTGTTATATGATTGATTACTTTGTAGTTGGTGGGTTTGAGATTTTCACTGTGCCCTTCTTCTGTTGGTTTGAGAAGAGCACAAAAATTAGAACAATGAAATTCATCCTTCATTTTCCTGATCCTTGAAGGAAAAAGAGGGAGATATGTGAAGTTGTCATCTAACTTTTTTTTTTTTATAGTTCAAACTACGTTGCGATTTGAATACTATTTCGAAAAATGGTCACAAGAAAAATATTTTGTCGATTTTTTTTTTTTTTTTTTTTTTTTTCTTTTGTGGTCCGTGAGGATGCGTGGTGTGGTAAGAAAGAGTGAAAAAGAGGGATTGGGAGATAAAACTTGTAATCTTTTATTTTCATATAATGGTGGATATAGATTTTATGCCTAATCATATAAATATTTGTGTCTTATTTATTTATTTATCATTTGGGTCACAAAAACTTCAGCTTCGTCGTCATAATTATTATCAATTGGGAAAGTGCAACCAAATTATTAAGAAAATGCAACGATTCTAATGGTCCAATGTGATAAGCAGAAGTGTTGTTTTCTTTTTCAACACTAACAAGTAAATCACACATAAATCAATATAAACGATAGTGTAGAGGATTGTGGAGTGTATTGGAGAATTTGTAAAAATTCGTATATATGAAAGAGAATTTCTAAAGAGATTACATAGATTTGTAAGGAGGATAAAAAACTCTAAAGCATTGGAGAATTCATAAAAAATTTGTATATATGAAAGAAAATTTCAAAAGAGTAAGAATTTTGTAAAGTTTGTAAATAATTCTAGATGGTAAATTTTAGTCATCCAATTTAAAGCATTCTAACCGTCACTGATACTTATATATATATACCTATGGTGAGAGTTGAAATGACAATATTAAATATTCATATATTCCAAAACTTAACATTTAATTTCTATCTGGTAAGTTTATTGTTAACTAAACAAAATAATACGAGATGCCACTAACTTCCCATACCTTACAAGTGCATGTGTTATTCCCAATGTCCACTGCATCACTAACTCCTCTGCATTCCACCTCATATTTATGGTAAGCAGCATAGCGTACCTTACAAAACCTGAGTTTCCACTCAAATTTTCAAGTAAGGTCCATGCCTCATTCGCACTTTTAGACATGAACATCCCTCCAAAAGATGAGTCAACCATGAACCTGACCATGTGGAGGACCTTGATCACATAGACCAACAAGGCAATCTCTACCCTAATGTGCATCATGAAAATGTTCAAGTACGAGTAGTATTCAATTTTCTTGCACTAAATGGTGGTAAAATCGTAGGTGACAATACAATCAAAAATAATAATATATTATAGCAAAACTACATATGATTATTAATTGTACACAATTTACCCAATTTGTTGCTAAAACAAAAAAATTAATAATAATAAATTATTTTCAAGGTGGTGCTTGGTAACCCACAAAGGATGATCTTCTATGAAGCAATATCACCGAAGAGTTGGCAACTGATTGTTGTTGTTAATACAAATATAACCTTGTTTCAATTATAATTTTTGTTTTATGAATAGAAAACTGATAGAAATTTTTAGCCATAAAAGAGATTGGATTATTGAAGCTCCCATTTTAATGCCATTCTAGATACTTCTCCTTTGTCCTTGCACATCAAAATCTTGTGAAATGCAACAGACATGTCACTCAAGTTAAAGTACGTGGGACGGCATGAAACACATGGTTGGACAAGTTTATCATCTTCTTCTCATCTGTCAAAATCCACCATCATACAGATACCTTCTGGCTAGTAGGTGGTCTGCCCTAATTTGAACGTTTGGTTACAACCCCATTTTAATTTCTGATCCCCACTCCTAATCATCTGAATCGAAACTTTAATATTCACAATAAATCAATAACTATATCTCACATCTCGTTAAAAGTTCAAACAAATACTCTCACATGCTTACAATATATTACCTTTAACAGTTTAATATTTAACTTTTCTTTTAAAAAGAAAGATTATACCATCTTAACTAAAGATAAAGTTCCTACATCATATTTTAAGGTCCACAAAATTTACACGTGTGAGACTAGAATTGTCCTGCATTTAATCTTACCTCTTCTGGACAAGGAACCTCTCCCATGAGATTGCATCATCACTCCTACTAAATTCTGTGCAAAAAAAAGTCCAGAACCGTAGAAAATCCTTGTCCCACCTCTTCCATACAAAAAGAAGATAGGGGAAGTGTTCCTATTAATAAAGAGTGATAAGAAATTGGAGCGATTAACTATTGTGCTGTACAGTCACGACTCACGACCCTATGTAGCACAGTTTTAATTTAGTTTTTTTTTTTTTTTTTTTTTTTTTTTGGAACCAGTGAGTGCATGTAGATGAGACGCTTGTTGATGGTGACACTAACATACGACAGGAAGGAGTTATGTATTCTTTCAAAAAAAAAATGATAATAATTGAGAGTCACTCCACTAATATCCAAGTCATGGGTCCAGCTGGATCTTAAATATTCCTAATGACAACATATGCTCAATTTCACATGTGGATGTGGTCCACAATACTAATTTAGTTGTTTATTTTATTATTATTAATATTTTTTCTTTTCCTAATTACTTATTTTAATAAATTTAGTAGACAACGGCCCAAAAACTACATCTAACAATTCACCTTTTATTATTACCTTTTGTCCAAGGAGGATAGCCCTAAAAAAGAAAAACTGCAAGAGTAACAATAAAAAATTCAAGCATGGGATGACATAAAATTTGAGGTTTTTTAAGTCAAAAGACAATGATATCTTAAACTAGGGTTTTAGAGAAACTTTTACACTATGAATTAATATATTACTCCAAACTCATCAATTGTCTCTCTTCTAAGAAGTATCATAATGAATACTCGAGTTCATTAATCCATCATTTTGTTAGAGGTCATGTGCTAAACCTAAAACTGAAGAGTAAAGTTCCAGCTTCCTTGTAACATGAAAGTATCCTACTTTTGAATTGCATGGAATTCAGTAACATTAACACTATATTATGGCAGTGAAAGATGAGTTGGGATTCTCTCATGTAACAATATTGTGTTCTACGGCTGATTTGATCGATCACATGTGTGAGTAATCACAGTCATACAATATAATGTTGTTACATCAGAAAATCTATATGAATTCTCTCCAATAACAACACTGTGCTCTACAGCTGAGGACAGATATAATCAATCACACGTGTGGGTAATTACAATCATATAATACGATATTGTTATATTAGAAGATACGCATTTACTGCAAGATTATGTGTATGTGTGTGTGTGTTTATGTATATATTTCTTTGCATCTTCTCCAAAATTTGTTATTTACACTCTGTTGTTGATCTG